GATAAGAGGCCCAGAGTTCTGCCCCCAGTTCTGATTCCTCTTACACCTTTTTTCTTTTACCATTTCATTTCTCCTCCTCAATTTTATCTGTAATAGTGACAATGCTTTTACTTGAAAATGTGAATGATATAAACTCAGTCAGTTTAGTAAGCCAGGCTAACATGATCATGCCTGATCATACTTTAAATTATTGTCTAAGTACCACTAATGCAAGAATTTCACTGTGATGTCTGCTGACAGTGGTGGTTATACGTATTCCTGTGGGTTAAAGACAGATACACTCAATAAGCTCATTTTTATAACTACTATTTTGAAGACCTTTCATATTAAAATCATCCAGAAATGAGTAACCATGATGTTCTGCATCACTAGAGTTAATTAACACATCACTAGCAGTGGGTCCTGAAACAACTCTTATCTCCTTGAAGATGGCACTGTGCAAATGTTTAATAGAAATTATATACAGGTCTTTCTCTAATATTGTTAACTTCAGTTGTAGGCATAGAATCTGATAAAATAGAAAAATCATTATGACAGCTTTAAACAACATATTATTGTGACCCTCTTAGCAAAATCCTAGTAGAAATACTATTTAAAAAAGTAATCAGATTAATCAGGGTGTGGTTATGAACAGACACTTCAGCATTCTTTTCCCTCAAAAGGCAGTAGCTTTCAAATTCACTGCATGTATTTGTCTTCCTTTAATTTCATTTTTTCTTTCAACTTAACTCAGTGCTTGTGGATAACACAAAAATGACAGCCACAACACTAAATTTGTTTGTCTGAGAACAGGTTCTGTACAAGCAGTGCAAAATTTCCTGCACAGACTGCCCTGTCATCCAGACACCCAAGAAGGAAAATGTAAAATTGGAGTATGCATCCAGAAGGAGGTGTTGATTTAAGACTTATGGAAGGCCATCAATATTAATATCTTATATTAAAACCTATCCATTATAAAATGCATAAATGAATTCTATGCTCGTATTTCAGATGCAAAGGATAAATAATGAGTTTTCAGAAAAGCACTCCATTTTGATTACAGATATAGAGCTCTACTTCCCCCAAATCAGCACTGTTTCTGCCTTGATATATGAGGAAACCTTTGGAGGTGATGAGGCTTTCTCAGACTGAGTCAGATGAAAAATACTGTGTTATTACATGCCCCCTGTTATGCCATAGGGCAGTCATAACTATTACATTTTTCAGGTGGTGAGGATCATAGCAAAAAAGCAACTGTAGTAGCTTGCATGTAAGCATATATAATGTAACAGAGGTTTAAAGAACAAATTGTTGCAAAACATGTAGGTTATTAATTACCAAGATAATAGCTGACAAACTGAGAATATTTAGTTCTTTGCACACTGGAAAGCAGGGAAGAAATGGCTATTACCTGGAAGAGGACTTTGAAATCTTTTCCTATGCATCCAGTCTGTGTCAGCACAGTTGCCACATGCCTGTCTCTGAAAGCTTGAGGAAAACCAGCAAAAATCCCTACTAAGAGCAACTGTGCAGGCATACAACACAAGAAAGATGCAACAAATTTACACACTAGGAACACAAATACACACAAAAATGGAAGCATGATACATGTATAACAAATAAGAACTTTTGTTAGTATTATCTTGACAATAAAGAACCTATACTGTTCTCATCTATTTTGTTCTCTTGAACTTCCATTTTATTATGCTGCCTCTGTATGTCACTATTGAAACTCTACAATAAAGAAAGGTTATGGAAACTTCTATAATATTCTGGTGGGGTTACACCCCCATGAGCCACCCCTGCATAAGGGCTATTAGAACTTTGACCTTACTAGTGGTTATAACCTGATCTGGTACATGGCCATGCTTGAGGATCTGATACTTTGATGACTTCTGTCACCAGTGAGGTCCGAGCTTTGGCACAAAAAAAGAATAATGAGCTCTTTCATTCTAATTCACACATGTGCTGTTTTGTCTGTCCTGGAGGCTCTCAGTACCAGGAAAACACATGAAGGACAGTAAAATACATGAGCATGCCTTATTTCACAGCAAGCCTTCCAGCATCTTTTCAGTTTTAATGGGTTACATAGCAACACCATATCCCAATTTTTCTTTTTAGCCTGGGTCTTCTTACATGGATATCTGCTAAAGGGGATTATCTTTTGTTTGGTAATCTGAGGAATTTTTATGGCTCTTCCATTTTATGCAAGCTGAGGGTTTCCAAACTTTTATTTAATACTCAAGTTAAATGACTTTAATATGTCAACATGAAGCACTATTTCAAGCTTCACTGTGAGCTAGACTAATCCCTATCAGTTTCTAAACTGTATTTTGATTTGACACTTCTTGAGATACTCTTCTAAAAACAGACATAAAATGAATTAAGTGCATTGGCTGGTAACAGCTGATGTTATTGCTGTAAATCTGTGTTCTCCTACAGGTGACTTCCAAAATTAACTAGTCACCCCTACCTGTTTAGTGAAATCGTAAGTTGATTTAATAGACACATTAAACTCTTATTAACAAAATACTGTGACATTAATAGGGCAGAAGTTCTATAGGAGGAAGATAAAAATCCTGTGATTTCAAGTCAAATGAAATATCCTGCACTTTATAATTTCTATTACTTTTCAATATACCACAACAGTATAATAAAAATAATTACTTTGATAATATATGATTTTGGAATAAAGCTAATTTATGGCAAATATAAAACAAATTTATCAATAACTTCATACATTATAAAATGTCTGTAATTTTTAAAAATTAAATAAGATCTAAAGATACTCATTTGCCACTGCTGACTGCATTTCAGTTGACAATGTTTTGAATTTATATTAAGCATGCCTTTTTGTGGGGTTTTTGGTTGGGTTTTTTTTGTTGTTGGTTTGGGGGTTTTTGTTTGTTTGGGGATTTTGTTTGTTTGGCTGGTTTGGTTTGCTTTATTTTGTTGTTTGGTTGGGTTTGATTTTGGATTTTTTGGGGTGGCAGGTGGGTGGGTTTTTTGGAAGTGATTATGCAAAGACATACAAAAACTAGGAGGTTCTTTTTCAGGTATATTGAAGCAAATAGTTAATATAGATGAAATAAGTTCTGATAAACATTGAAAGGATTCTTCACAGATAATAAACATTGTTGGAAAAAGAAAGATCGTCTGGAATGAACTGTGTTATTTTGTAAGCAGATTTTTTTACTTTATATTACTGATGTACTAATTAAACATCTTAATTTATTTTATCTGTCAGCACCAAGCTACTTCCCTCTATCATTTTACTTATTAGGTGACAGTGTTGTACGATATCCTGTCAATAAACATCACTACTGTGTGTGCTATACTACAACTAGATCTTTCCTTATTTTAGGAAAGTATCTTTTCTGCAATTTGAACCAGTTCCAAAAAGTCTAAAGAGATAAGAATACGCAAGGTAAATCTGTGATGTGACAAGTATTATTCTTAATGGAAATATCCCATTAGTTCTGAAGTTGCTTATAAGTTTAAATTCAGTGTATTGATAATAGTCAATTCTGTGCAAAATATTTATTTTGGCTGCTTACAACTGACTCTTAAATGACTAATCAGACTACCTTAAAGGAATAAAGACTAATGAATCACAGTGGTGCAGCAATAACATCTCTGTCTTCTGAGGCAAAAAGCACAGCAATCATGTTCCCTGTGCTATAGCACTGAATACGATTAGAGTCCCCATTTTCACCAGAATGAAGATACGTGTTAGAGAAAGTGGAATTTATATCAACCGGAGTCACAAAGATGCAGTTTTTCACTATGTGACCCACCATTCTTCAGACTTTAAAACAAACTTATTATCTTTGCAGTATACACATACTTCTTTATAAATTGTTTTAACTAATATGTTTTAGTGTGCAAAATAATGCCTACACATGTTATATCCATGTACATTTTTGGCTTATTTGTAAAATCTAACGAACCACATGTAGTCTTTTTCTGTTTTAATTATACATCCTTCACTCCGAATATTTTCCTGGAAGGGTAGGAGGCAAAATTAATTTTCTGTTAACTTTATTTAGATTTAGAAGAAAACAAACAAACAAACAGAAAAACAAACAAACACCAACACAACCACATTCCCAGCTTTTACATTTAGAAAAGTTAAAATGGTATTAAAAACTGAAGCATGATGCCTCATTTTTATGCTAGGAGGATTTGAACTTCACTGTCCAGGGAAGTAGCATTTGAGGACCTAGGAAATAAATTCCCAATGTCTCATTTTCATTGAGCAAGGACCTTCACTTAAGCCAAAAATTTTACATAGCATCCAATTATATCCTGTGCGTTTTTTTTTCAGATCTTGTTTTCAGCTTCCCATTCTGTACACTCAATTATCTAAATTCACCTCTCCATACACCTATCTAACAGTTGGGTATCAAACTGCTTATGCCTTATTACAGAAGCAATGGTAATATAATGAAAGAAGAATTGCATAAATTCTCTGCATGTGTGAGAATGCATGTCTGTACACAAAGTATGAAAGCTATAAAGCAAGAGTGTGAATTATGAAGCAATAAAACATATTAAAAATACCTGAAAATTATTTGAACAATCAGAAATAAAAGTAAAATTATACTGGGACATATGATAATAGAGCAAAAAGCAGGTATCTTCATTACCTGGAAACTGTCATGAAGTATCCACACCAGTCACAGAAATGACTGTGCATTCTGGGCTAAGACTTCTGGCTTAAAGCTTATCTCTGCTATCACTCTGACATACCAGAACTACCAATTTTTTATTTTTTTTTCCAAAACCAAAGATAAGGAAATATGACAAACATACTGTTGAATGTAAATGTTAGAAACTTGTGCACTAAAAGTAATAATAGCACCATAATGCTTATATGAGAGGCTGAATGGTGAAGGGGATGAACAGAGAGAAACTACTGTCAGCTGGAGATTTGCCCCACTCGAAACAGGTACACATTTATAGCACATTTTGCTATTTCTCTGCTTCATTTCAATTTTCAAAGAAAAGAAAAAAATTACCTTTCCAACATACTGAGGTTCAGAGCCCATGTACTCCTCCAGCACAAAAAATTGATTCCAAACCCAGCCTCGTTTGACTCGCTGGGCAAATGACCTCCTCCCTGGCACTGGGACATTTTCTCTTGCCTCTGGTTCTAATGTCTGTTGTGGTTGTGGATGCAGTGGTGTTAGGAGACCTCCATCAAACAGGACACAGAGAAGCAGGGATAAGCAGTTCCTTGTAAGCATTGGCAATGGCTTCCCTACAGCAAGTAATAAAAACTCCAGTACTTAATGCAGAGCAGAGGAATCCAGGTTTGAGGTGTCTGTGGCCTCCACCACTTAGCTTCCGATTTTATTGCGGAAATGCTAATGCAGACATTAATCCTTCTGACGACAAGGTTTTTGTCACATTAAATTCCATCTAAAGGGACCTATAAAAGAGATTTACATGCAACATCAAATTACATAAAATTACATTGAAGCGTTCATCAAAATTCTCACACCAAGTTAGTTTATAGAGACAAAGATTCAGAATTACATTTTTTAAAGAGATTGCTATTTTGTTTATAGCACTTAGCTGCTCTAGAACATTGTACAGTTATTACAAGAATAGGTCATTCTTGCTCTGCTTAGCATTACTTTTGTGTCTGAGGACAGGCCATTCGCCTTTGCTTCATGATCCAGTTATCAGACAAAACTGTTACCCATCAATGATGGCAAAAATATTTACTCTGGATTTACACAGAAAATATTGGAGAAGAATCTTCCATACTACTGTCCATAGCAGAAATGCTTTGCTTGCTGTCTTTGTCAGAAAAGCACCTTGGGGGCTACTCTACTGTTTGCTGGTTGCAAGGTAAAAGAAATACTGGCAACAGGATTTAAGATGAATGCATTTACATTTTTAAAACAAAAGTACAATTTATATCACTATGGAATTCACCACTTTGTTAAGGCCATATTGTGTCATTATATTTAAGTAGGCATTTCTACCCAATTAATAAAGAGTTCTGCTTAAAAATCAATGCTACAATATGGACCTCAGAAAACAAGAAAAAGTGCCTAACCATATATATTTTTCATTTTCAAACTCTTACAAAGGTTATATTTTCCTTATTAATATTATTAATATCCATAGCAATAAATAACATAAAAGTTCTTATTTGTCAGGTACATGCTGAAGTATCTAAATAGAAAGGATTTCTAATTGGGAGCCTGGAAAACCTAGTAAGTTTTGAAGAAGAAAATAAAAACACTCTGGAAAAATAACTGCACTTCCTCTTCTAAATTTAGAAAGGCTATGGTCTAGGTCTTAATAAAAAAGAAAGTAAAAAATGTGATAAAAATATATCTGTTTCAAGTAAGTGTTTTAACTCTGCCATCAGAAAGGATTAAAAATGAGGGAAGAACTATTTGTCTATGATCCTTCAAAAAGTGTTTATAAATTTGGATCAGGACTTTTTAAAGGTTTTTTTAATCTTTTTATTATTTTTTTTAATCGATGGATACAACTTCCCACTTACATTATCATTTGTATTCTATGGATTTTACTCTGGCAAAGAAACTTTCAGACAGGACTCTACCACACTACAGAACTGCACTCAGTATTAATATATTTGGTATGTATTTCTATTAGCAGCTTTTTTTATTTAACAGTTCACATGACTTTCTGTGCTTCTCTCCTCAGTGTATTCAATGGTATATCACATCAGGTTCATTCATTATTCAGTTCCAAGAATTCCAAACTCCTGTGTCTCTCAATCCACTATTGCACGGTTCATGCCTAGGTTTTTATGGCAAAATCACAGCAACCATGAAACACACATACACACACACACAAATGATAAAAAAAAAGCAAGCAAAGAATTCAGAGGATCCTTTTGAAATACCCAGAAATAGATAGGAGCTGGAAATAACATTAAAAAGCGGGATAGCCTGCACTGCTTCACAACCCCTAAAAGCATGCTGTATTCAGTTTAACTACTATACCATTGCGCTTTGCTGAGGAGGCTCTGTACATTACAGTTCTCCCAGCAGAGCTCTGCCTCTGGCCATGTCTGTCAGTCAGGGAGCTTTTAAAATGTTATACAGCACCAAAAGTAATGCAAAGAGATTGAAGGACTTCAGTGAAAGGAGAACAAGTCCCCTTTGGCTGGAAGGTTAGTAATAAAGTGCAAAATGCAGAGCACTTTAACTCCTTCTCTGTCAGCCTCCTGGACTACCTTCCAGAATGCACGCTGCATAGTCAGGAAAGAGCACTACTAGTGCTTGCTTCATTCCCTATAGCTTCAAAAAGCTGATGAATGGGAGGGTCAGAGAATAATGGGAGGCTAATACATGTTGCAGTACAGGGTTGCAGCACAGATGCCCTCATCAGCTACAAAAAGGTTCACTGTGAAGAATTTTCTAATTTAAAGCTCAGCAGTTAGAAGGCTGGTAATTGAGAACCCAGCACTTCGGGATGCAAGAGAACCACTCCAGCTTGCTGCTGTGTAACACCAATGCAGCAGGAAACTGAGGCAAAGGGTCTCCCCTGCCGTGTCTCCTTCCCCAGTATTTTATTGCTGGCTTTGGAGGTAGCCTGGTGTCTGACAGAATATGTTTAATAGCACAGCTGGAACTTGTACAGCAATCCCAAGGATAAGACTGATACTTCTTTTAGTCTGTTTATTGTTTTGCTTTTTTTTTTTTTTTTTTTTTTTAAGCTAATTGTTAGTCTTCCAGCCAAGATGCCTAAACCTGTCCTGGTGCTTTTATACGGTCACAGGCTCATTAAACACTTAAATCTAGCACCCTTATACACTCTGCCCAGAAAACTGATATGAAGGCTAGGACACTGAGATTTAGAAATCCAATCAGAACAATTAGCCATAAGGGAGGTACTGTCTTTTCTTTTTTTTTTTTTTATTTTTTTATTTTAAGGAATTATTTCCTCTGATGCTTATGAAGGATACAGAGTTTCTATATATATTAGTCCACATATGTTCCAGTAGGTGACTAATAAGTGGAACTTATTATTTCAACTTCAAATAAACTTGAGACACTGGCACAGAGAAGCTGAGGCTGCCCTACCCATGGCAGTATTCAAGGCCAGACTGGATGGGACTTTGAGCAATCTGGTCTATTAGAAGGTGTCCCTGCACATGGCAGGGGGGCTGGAACTAAGTGATCCTTAAGGTCCCTTCCAACCTCAACCATTCTACGATTCTATTATCTAGTAAGAGAGTTGTGCACCATCAATGCATCTCTGTCTCATAAAATATGAAAGTACAGAAGGACAGATTTTTCTTAGATCTTGCTTTTTTTTCAAGATTAACTGCTGCTAATCACCTCTTCAGACTATCTTCTATAGATTTAGATACCACTATACATGATTTAATTGACCCATGAGGAGAAGTATAGAGGGAGTGCCTGTATGAATTTACCCCCAAACATTCTTTTACTGGAATTACGTTTATTCATTTACCAACTTCAAAAGGTGAAATGACCAGCAGCAAGCATGGACAATCTGTTAAAACACAATAATTAAGAAATCTTGATCCTATATACTCTGTCTGTGAAACTGCAGGCTTAGAAACTCATGAAATGCAAATGATGAATTAAATATCGCTACTATTTATTGAGAATAACAAAGTACAGTATAAATGGTCCTCCTGCAATACTTTTGATACTGACCTGGATTATACTGCCATTAACCTAAACAGCCCAAACAAAGGAATATTTTTGATATAGCAAAAGTGATGTGTGCCAGTAATGATTCAATAACCCTGAATGAAAGAGACCCATCACACTGGAGACACAAATCACTTTAGCAAGCCAGGCACAACATGGCATGGACAATCCCTCTGGTCAGTTGGGGTCAGCTGTCCCAGCTGTGTCTCCTCCCAGTTTCTTGTTTACCCCCAGCCTACTCACTGGTGGGTGGTGTGAGAAGCAGAAAAGGTCTTGACTCTGTGTAAGCACTGCTCAGCAATACCTAAAAAACATCCCTGTGCTATCAACACTGCTTCCATCACACTTCCAAAACAAAGCACTGTACCAGCTACTATGAAGAAAATTAACTCTATCCCAGCCCAAACCAGTGCAGATCTGTATGAAGTGTCTACCTGGATCAGACAACAGGTGCACTACTGTCACATGCAGACAAGCAAGAAATGCTAAGCTCCATGAAGCACCCAAAACTGTCTTCATTGAATGGAGGCAAATTGCTTACTGACAAAGTATCCATTATGCAACGAAGGCAGGATCATTTCTGTGGCCACCTTAATCATAAATCTATGAGCACAGAGAATGCTTTTGCTTATGTGAAACAACAGCTAATGTAGAGCAGCCATCTTACTACCCATAAAGAGTTTTGAAAAAATTTGGCAGTACTGTAAAAATGGTTGATCCATACCAGATGGAAAGCCAGCTGAGATCTGTAACTGTGGATATGCTCTAACAGGTGACCATCTAACCTCACTTCTCTGAAATATCCTGAAATAAGAAAACACAACAACAGAAAAAATGTCTATGCTGTCAGTACCTACTAAAATTAACTGCTAATGTATTTGAGATTATATATCTTGTGGTTAAAGGAAGAGTAAAAAGATACGGAAAACCTCAGTTCATGTCTCACCTTGATATGTTTTTTTAATCTGACCTTTGATCAGCAAATCAGGCTAATATTCTCAAAGGTATTTAGTTAGAGAATTCCTGTTTGGTTAGAGTCCTGATGTCCATATTTCTCATGAATTTGATTTTCTTGAGCTTCACAACCTATCTACACACTTTGGAAATAACCTTTCTTTCCATCTTTCTTCCACCTTGTCTTTTTTAGTTAGGGTAGGAACTACTTGGTAACCCAAGTAACCCATGAAAATGGGGGTTAGGAGGGAATCTACAAGTAAACAGATTAGAAACCTCCAACTACCACGGAGAACAATTCTCAGTCCCTCCACTGTACAAACTGGAAGAGTTTCAGCAGAGTGATTGAGTGGGTCCCACCTCTGATGCCACCAACTTCATTTGGCAAGCATAACATGTGGAATCCATGCCAGGTAATTCTCATGGGATGAAAAAATGTTTCTAAACTCAGAGACAACACCTGACTTACTGGAGTCTTTAACAGGATACAAACCACTTACTTGTTTATCCCCCCTCTTTGTGTGAGCCACAGTAAGCCTTAGAAACCATCCTTGCTTATGCTCAGCCAGAAACTAAGCACCACACAGCCACTCACTGACTCTAACTCCTCAGCAGGATGGAGGATGGAAGAGAACAGGAAGGGTAGAAATGGGAAAATTCGTGGGTTAACATAGTAACAGTTTAATAATTGAAATAAAAGATAATAATAATTATTATTATTAATAATAATGATATGTAATGAAAAGGAAAATTACAAAGAGAGAGAAATAAACCCCAAGAAAGACAAGTGATGCAAATTAAAACA